TTGATTAAAAGTGCCGTAGTTATCATAATAATTTTTGATAATGGTAGTGAATATTTGTAGCTCAAGTGGATAGTCTTGGTTATGTTATGTTCTCTGAGCTAGATTGTTTAGTTGTGCAGCTTTCATCGTCTTTCGAGACAGAGACATCATCAACACTAACTTCAGTATGAAGTAATCTGTCAATATATATCCATCAGGGATTCAGTAACTTGTTCTCACAAACTCGTTTGTGAATGATTCCTCCCTTTGACCATTGTGTCATTGACTGACTACATAGATTTTCCTGTTGTCTGACTGTTCCTTTGCTTCACCTCTCGCCTTTCTATCATTTATCATTTTTCGTATTAGTTGATAGATTAGATCTATGTCTATACATTTAATGATTGCTAACTGACTGACTCAACTGAATGTCAAGCTTCTACGAGTTCCCTGATGTTCTTTGTGTTTTCTAACTCCGTGGAACACTTCTACATTGTCAAAATTCAATTCATGTTCATAGTTGTTATTTACGTGTATTGAAATGAGTGATAAAATGTCGTGTGTGACGTTTAACAGCCAACTGATGTTCATGTAAATGACGAAGGTGGAGGAGGTGACCACTTTGTCCGATGTAGTGTTGATCATAGTTATTCTAGTTGATTTTGTGAATGATGTTGGGGTTTTTTTCTTTGGCTGTTGCATTCTTTGGTTTGGATAAGTGTTTGGAGGGAATTTTTTGGTTTATAAGCCACACCAATTTCACCAAGTGGTCTCAGTAATCTTGTCGTGACTTCTGACATACTCTTTATGTATGGTAGGATGATGCGTTTGTTGATTTCTGTAGATAACATTATAGTTGATGATGTACGGGATAGACAGATTTATGGGCCCACAAAAAAATAAATTCCCTCCAAACACTTATCCAAACCAAAGAATGCAACAGCCAAAGAAAAAAACCCCAACATCATTCACAAAATCAACTAGAATAACTATGATCAACACTACATCGGACAAAGTGGTCACCTCCTCCACCTTCGTCATTTACATGAACATCAGTTGGCTGTTAAACGTCACACACGACATTTTATCACTCATTTCAATACACGTAAATAACAACTATGAACATGAATTGAATTTTGACAATGTAGAAGTGTTCCACGGAGTTAGAAAACACAAAGAACATCAGGGAACTCGTAGAAGCTTGACATTCAGTTGAGTCAGTCAGTTAGCAATCATTAAATGTATAGACATAGATCTAATCTATCAACTAATACGAAAAATGATAAATGATAGAAAGGCGAGAGGTGAAGCAGAGGAACAGTCAGACAACAGGAAAATCTATGTAGTCAGTCAATGACACAATGGTCAAAGGGAGGAATCATTCACAAACGAGTTTGTGAGAACAAGTTACTGAATCCCTGATGGATATATATTGACAGATTACTTCATACTGAAGTTAGTGTTGATGATGTCTCTGTCTCGAAAGACGATGAAAGCTCCGGGAACATTATGATCATTATTATTATAAGTAGTTTTAGTAGTAGTGGTTGTAATTCAACATACTCACCTTTCAATTGATGAAAATTTTCAATCAGATAGTTGGAGAATTTGAAAACTGATAATAGGACTTAATGTCGCCCTACCTCCTAATGTTGACTTTATTCTTACAGTGGAGCATCGACTTATCGGTTTACTTTTAGAATGGATAGACAAACAAATGGTCAGTGTTCTCAATTTAAAATATGGAATAAGTATTCATCCTCAACGCTGTCCGAAGGTAGTATCATTCACATTTATCTGATCCATTATTAACCTTATACAAAAAGTTATGTTATCTCGTTGGCATTTTACTATTAGTTCAGTTATTAACTGGTTTCTAAGAGCATAGCGTTTCTAGATTAAGCTTGGCAACTACTGTTAGTTTCCGCTTTTTTCCATGAGCAGTGAATCTTGTCTTTCTAGTCATGTTTTCTGTGTCTTTCAGTAATATGGGGACAATATTCTAATTAATATCAGTGTAAAACTTGGACACTGTGGTAGAATTTAATTCCATACTAGATTTGTTTATTTGATATAGCCAGCACACAGTGATACGATATTATTTACTTGATGACCACGTCTCAAGCATAAATTATCATTGCTCATTATCACACACTACTCTCAACATCTGATTCTGATATTCCTGTCACCTCATATTGTTTGTTTGTATTGGTAGTAAAATGTTTCATATCTCTGGTATATATTGCTGTTGTATCATTCCTATTCCACATATGTGTTAAATGTTGGTTGATTCGATGAACAAAGATTCAGTGATCAGTTTCTGTATCTCTCCACCTAATTATTATTTAGACTTCAGTATAGTGGTTTTATCCTGCCCACCCTATTGTGTGGGATAACAAGAGGTAGAAAATGAACAAGGAGAATTACCTACGTTGAATTGCAGAATGAAATGAAGGACACGCGGTGGTTTGGATGCTACTGTTTACAGAGAACTGACACATCCTAACAGATATCTAGACTTCAAATCATCCCATCTAGTGTCAGTTAAGGCAGGTTTAGTCAAACGTCTAAGTGATAGAGCTAGAAGACTGACTAGTCAGTGCAAAAAAACTAAACAAGGAATTTAAGCACATAAAAGAACCTCTAATAGTTAATAATTATCCTCTACAGTTTATTCAGAACTTCGTAAAAACAGATAGAGACGAAAAGATAACAATGACACGAGTACGAATAATAACGACAACACAAGTAGAAAGGAGTTCACAGCCTCCATCGTGTTACCACATAAGGAAGATACATCACGAGCCTCGCATAGGACCCTCAACAGAGCTGGGATTAGGATGGCATTTAAACCTACAAACTCACTCATGGATAAGCTTTGTCGGTTGGCTTAAGGTTCCAATAGAACCATCTAGTCTATGAAATTCTATGTAATGACTGTGAGGTAAAGTACATAGGTCGAATGAGGCGATCGGGTTCAGTTAGAATAGCGGAACGTAAGAATTTAGTTAAATATTGAATGATCGACCTGATTAAGATCAATAATCGAGAAGAACGATCAGCTATTGCAGTGGATGCATTGACACAAAACCATACAATAAGGTGGGCGGGATAACCCCACTGTACTGAAGTCCAGTATGATCAGGTAGAGAGAGACAGAGATTGATTACTGAAGCTTTTATTCATCGAATCAACCAAAAACCACCACACGTAAAAGGAACCATGCAACACCCACGTATACCAGAGATGTGGAAGATTTTACTACCAATACAAACAAAAAATATGAGGTGACAGGACTGTCAGAATCAGATGTCGAAATTAGTGTGAATACATTGATATGCATATGAGCAGCGATAATTTATGCTGAAAACATCAAGAAAATAATACTGTATCACTTTATGATTATTATTTTTCCCTTGGATTCCTAGTGTAACAGATAGCTTCAGTAGCACGCCTCAATTCTACTCTCTTCTCTACAGTCTTTTCAAACTCGCTCAACAACTCTCCACAACCTCTCAGTTCCTCTTCACATCATCTCCATGTCACCATCATCACGGACGCACAACTCATCGTTTCCCCCTTCGGATTCCACTCGACGATCTGGCATGGCGTTCTCAGTGTATGCCCATCCAATCCATCTCCATCTCCACTTCCTTCTTCTACATTTTTGTTGGGTGATAAGTTCTTGGTTGGTTCGTTGCCATGTCGGAATTCCTTGTTGCTTATTCTCATTATTCTGGCCATCTCATCTGATCTTCAGTATCGAGTGGTAAGAGTAGGTGGCAGCTGTTGATGAATGTCTGTAGTTTGTTTGGAGTGCTTTTCGTGATGTGCTGTGCTAACTTTCTTAACCATCGCGTGGAAGCATTGAGTTGAGTGACATTGATATTGAAAATCTGGATGTTGTTCATGCTTTATGCTGAGTGGAGTGGAGTGGAGTAGATCTCTACACTGATTTCAGAATAATGACAGTGTGTCTTGCTGTCTTTCCGATCGTCTGTGCCGCCACGTGTAGTTGAAACGATGCTGCCTGCTTAGGTAGGTGAAAGAGGCTACTTCCTTTAGGTTTCTCTTTCACAGTGATTGGTGCTTGTTGTTGATGCTATTGTCGGTTGGATATCCTCATCACCTCTGTCTACCCTACGATCAACAGAAAGGAGTCCCGTTTCCACTGCTTCACCTCTTCTGTCAACTTGTTGGGTTTTTTCTGTAGGTCTTCGAGTTTGTGAGACGTTAGACATAAATCATCGGCGAAATCTATATCTTGTAATCTCTTTTCTTCGGTCTATTGTGTGCCCATCTTCTCGATCCTCACGGTTTGCTGCATGACTCAGTCCGGTCGACCACAATGAGGAAGATGATCGGTGATGATAGTAGGTGGCAGCCTTGTCTTACTTCAAAGGTGTCACAGAGCTTTCCATTGTGAATCACTTGGCATGTGGTCTTTTCATACATTTCATACTGTATCACTGTGTGTTATAAGTTAAATAAACAAATCTTATATGGAACAGTATTCTAATGATCAGTTTTCATTTCATATAACGAGTATTGTGCGCACACAACATCAGTTTCTTATTTACAATCCACAATTCAGTAATATTTCGTCAAATCACTAGCTCTGCAAGGTAAATGAAATCAGTGTTTGAAGAATTTTGATGATGTGACTTAGAATCGATGTAGTCACTTTTTATCGTTATGTTAGTTATCATAACAAATTTCATAATTTGTCTTACAGCCTCTTCTTATCTTCTTACGATTTTCTATCAATTTTATTACACTTCTCTCTCTTACTTCTACAATTTTCATCTCTCTGTCTTCTATCTTGGCTTGATGACGTAAAGTAAGGGGAAATTAGAGTATTACATAGTACTGCTATACACCATACTACTGAGTGATGAGTAAGGAAGCAAAGCTGTAATCCTTACTTTCTCCTATTACACCTTCAATCGTTCAACAGTGAATTGAAGTTAGCCTAATATGAAGGACAGACAGTAAATCACATTTTGCTATAAAGAAAAAAATAACCTGAACTAAAATTTATGAAAAATAATTACATATTCAATGAAGAAGACAATGATTTAAATTATGATAATGTAGAATGATTATGTTTCAATTGATGTATAATTCAAACTTTCATCATGATCATCATCATTATCATTATCATTATTATCGGCTGTAAAACTGTTTTGATAGATAATAAATCGATTAATCAGTCGTTTTGTTGCTGATTCATTTTTATCATCTACTAAGTATCCAGCATATTGAAGAATTAATTCATTCCATGTATCTAAAGAGGAACGAAATTTTCGTCTATTTTCAATGACAGGAGTAATTTCATCTTTTCCTTCTGTATGTAATAAACCTTTCCATGGCATACGTTCTGGTGGATAAATATTACACCAATCACCAGTATATCCAGGCCAACATTGACATTGAATAATTATACGTTTTTCTTTACCTTTTCTTAGCCAAATTTTTGTACAATCACCAAACATACAATCAGCTGTACCTGATCTACATGGTTTAATTATAGTCTCATCTGGTTTATATTCTGAAGAAAGTGGACTGAAATGCAATTAGAAATGTGAGAAACAAACAAGAGGATTATTAGATTTATTGATAATCTATTCATCTGAAAAGATATACTTAGAATAAGTTTAATTTTTCATTAGAATACCTAATTGTTAGCCAACATTTTATCAGGTGAAGGTGATTATGAACACCAGTTTTCCATTGGTCAACAATTATATGTACTATGATAGATAATCTAACCTCGCCTGCTTAACTAGTTCACTAGTTACTAGACGGTCCTAAGCCCGGATAAACACGGAAGGTTGGGCATACGCCTAGCAACCCTACCCCATAAAACAAATCTAACCGCTAAAGAAACTTCAAAGCACAAACGATATATAAAAAATAATAACAAAATTACTCCTCACTGGAATCGGAGAGGCGAAATGACGTCAGTTGGTGAAAGCCTTCGGGAAGCCAATTGGCCGATGTGTCCTCTCTCCCTCGATGAAAGCGAAAGTAAACGTGGGGACATGGAATGTCCGCACTATATTCGAACCCAGCAAGGCAGCCCAGATTGCAAACGAGATGAGAAGGTATCACACTGAAGTGCTTAGGATTTGCGAAAGCAGTGGACTCTCCAAACTGTCAACTGGAGAGGAGTCAATAATCTACTCCGATATTGTCACCCAGACGACAACCACGAGCACACTGAGTTATGGAGTGGCTATCATGATGTCCCCCTCCCAAGAGCATCGAAGGCTCTCTCTCAGGCAGTGGGAACCAATCTCCTTCAGGATCATGGCAGCAAGATTCAAGTCAAGAGGAAGGAAGGTCACAATCATACAATGCTACAATATGCACCTACAAATAATGCAGAGCAAGAGAAGAAGGAGGAATTCTACAGACAACTTCAATCAACACTGGACAAGACCACACCCCAGTCGGTGACATCAAAATTCTAATGGGCGACATGAATGCCAAACTGGGAGGGGACAACACGGGAAGGGAACTAACCATGGGTCGAGAGGCGCTAGGTGAGGTGATGAACGAGAATGGAGAATTGTTTGAAGAATTCTGTGCATTCAACGATTTGGTGATTGGAGTTAGGCAGTGTGTTCAAGCACAAGGATATCCACAAAGCGACATGGATTTCACCAGACACCAGGACACACTAGAAATCAGATCGACTTTATCTCAATCTCAAGAAAATGGAGACGCAGTCTACTTAACACAAGGTCAAGAAGAGGAGCAGATGTAGGTTCAGACCACTCACTATCTAGTGCCAGGAACCTACCTTTGAAATCAAGTTGAAAGCATTCAAAGAAGTTGGTGACAGACCACAGTTCAAGTACAACATTCGGAAACTGAAGAACGAAACTACAAAGGAAACCTTCACGGCAGCCATCAAGACAAAATGGGAGATATCGAGGAACATCCCTGAAGAAACCTGTGTGGAAGAACACTTGAACTCTTTGAAAGAGATGTGGAAAGAAACCTGCACAACAGTATTAGGAAGGAAGAAGAAGCTCCGAGACAAGGAATGGATCTCAATGGATACATAGAAGCTGATAGAGCAGGGAGAGGAGGATGGTGAAACAGAAGATAAACCAGTGCAAGGATGCTCAACGACAAGAGGAACTGAGTACAATGTATAAAACACTACACTGGACAAAGAAGTGAAGAAGAGTGCGCGGAAAGACAAAAGACACTTCTACGACAAACTGGTAAGTGACGCAGAACAGGCTGCAGGTAGTAGAGACAGAGACCTGACAACATTGTATCAAATAACCAGGTTGCTATCAGGGAAGAGATCAACGCAGACGAAATCAATAAAAGATGATGACGGAAATCTAATTACGAAAGAAGAGAAACAAAGGAAACAATGGGCCGACCACTTCAAGAAGCTCTTGAATCGACCACACCTGCACTTCGTCCAGAAATACCACCTGCAGCCGCTGAATTACAAGTGAACATAAATCCCCCAACGAAAATGGAAGTCCTGAACGCCATAAAGCTACTGAAATGCGGGAAAGCAGCAGGACCAGATGGAATACCGCCAGAAGCACTGAGAACAGATGCAGAGACAACAGCGGACATGCTCACACCACTATTGCAGAAGGTGTGGAGGGAAGAGTAGGTACCTGACGATTGGAAGAAGGGTTACCTTGTCAAACTGCCGAAGAAGGGAGACCTCAGTGCTTGCAAGAACTGGCGCGGAATCACTCTCCTATCCACCCCAAGTAAAATATTAAGCCGCATCATCCTGGAGAGGCTTAAAGACGCACTGGATTCAAAACTGCGACCGGAACAGGCAGGCTTCAGGAAGTACAAATCATGTGCTGACCAAATTGCAACGCTTCGTATCATCATAGAACAGAGCGTAGAATGGCAATCAGCTCTATACCTCAACTTCATCGACTTTGAGAAGGCCTTTGACAGCGTCGACCGAGAGGTAATTTGGAAACTACTTCATAACTACGGAATACGCAAACTATTATCAGCCTCATTCGACCACTATATGAAGATGCCACATGCCGGCCAAGTAATTCACAATGGGAAGCTCAGTGATGCTTTTGAAGTGAAGACAGGAGTGAAACAAGGTTGCCTATTATCCCCCATGATGTTCCTCATTGTGGTGGACTGGATCATGCAGCAAACAGTGGGGAGCTGTGAGAAGAGAGGGAATCGAACCTAGAAGATCTGGATTTCGCAGATGATTTGTGTAAAGTGTAGCACAAACTTGAAGATCTACAGGCGAAAACTAACAAGTTGGCAGAAGAGGCAGGGCAGCGAAGACGACACTTCAAGTGAATAAAGAGAAGACAGAGGTGATGAAGATACTCAACCAACACCACAAACAACAACAGCAACAACAAGCTCCAATCACCATCAACGGGAGAAACCTAAAGGAAGTAACCTCCTTCACCTATCTAGGAAGCACTGTTTCAACTACAGGTGGTGGCACAGATGAGGATGTCAAAGTCAGAATCGGAAAGAGAGCAAGACAGGCGTTCATTAAAGTGAAACCAGTGTGCAGATCTTCTGCACTCAGCGTAAAGCCTGGACAACATCCGGATTTTCAACACCAATTCAGTGAAGTCAGTGCTTCTGTATGGTTGAGAGACTTGGCGGGTTACGAAAGGGATTTCCAGTAAACTACAGCGATTCATCAACAACTACCTACGCTGTCTCGTTACTGAAGGTCAGATGGATTGCCAGAAAGAATAAGCAACAAGAAGCTCTGGGAACGAACCAACCAACAACCTATCTCTCAACAAATATGCACTTGAAGGAAGTGGAGATGTATTTGGCATACACTGAGAAATCCGACTGGGGACATCACGCTTCAGGCCAGTCACTCGAGTGGAATCCCCATGAGAAGCGACGAGTTGGGCGTTGGAGGTGAGGGTGACATGGAGGAGATCGTGTGAGGAGGAAATGAGAGCTTGTGGGTGTCGTGGAGCCAGGATCAAAAGACTTCGGCGAACAGAGTTCACTCGAGACGTGCTACTGAAGCCCTATGTTCCATTAGGAACCCAAGGGACTAATAATAATAAAACATAAATGATACATTATCTATAGTTAATCAGTATCATAGTTCTTCACTTTCAAGAAATCTGCTATAGTTCACTGAAAATATCTCCAAGTGTCCAGTTTTTTTAAAGTCCACTATATTCTTATCGACTATTTGATAAGTATTGGTTAAATAAGACAAAATAAATCGTTTAAAATGGTGATTGTATTCAGGTATCCATAGGTTGGTTCACTGATATATCTCTCAGCTAAATATATCGTATAATAATATTTTGAGATAAGCGAACTGTAAGCCGGTGATCTCTAAGAAAGTTAGTTTTCATGGATAAAACTGATTAACATTATTTATTATTATTATTTTTCTCTTGGGTTCCTAGTGGAATAGACAGCTTCAGTAGCACGCCTCAATTCTACTCTCTTCTCTACAGTCTTTTCAAACTCGCTCAACAACTCTCCACAACCTCTCAGTTCCTCTTCACATCATCTCCATGTCACCATCATCACGGACGCACAACTCATCGTTTCCCCCTTCGGATTCCACTCGACAATCTGGCATGGCGTTCTCAGTGTATGCCCATCCAATCCATCTCCATCTCCACTTCCTTCTTCTACATTTTTGTTGAGTGATGAGCTCTTAGTTGGTTCGTTGCCATGTCAGAGTCCCTTGTTGCCTATTCATTCTGGCCATCTCATCTGCTCTTCAGTATCGAGTGGGTAAGAGTAGGTGGCAGCTGTTGATGAATGTCTGTAGTTTGTTTGGAGTGCTTTTCGTGATGTGCTGTGCCAACTTTCTTAACCATCACATAGAAGCATTGACTTGACTGACACTGATGTTGAAAATCTGAATGTTGTTCATGCTGTGGCTGAGTGGAGTGGAGTGGAGTAGATGTCTACACTGATTTCAGAATAATGAAAGCCTGTTTCGCTTCTCCGATTATGGCTTTGACATCGTCATGGGTGCCTGTGCCACGTGTAGTTGAAACGATGCTGCCTGTTTAGGTAGGTGAAAGAGGCTACTTCCTTTGGGTTTCTCCTTTGACGGTGATTGGTGCTTGTTGTTGATGCTGTTGTCGGTTGGGTATTTTCATCACCCGTCTTCTCTACGTTCACTCAAAGTCTCGCCTTTACTGCTTCTTTTGTCAGCTTGTTAGTTTTTGGCTGTACATCTTTGAGTTTGTGCGACAATGGACATAAATCATCGTTGGTGAAATCCAAATCTGTTAAAGTCTTTTCATCGTCTAGCCAGTGTATGCCCATCTTCTTGGTCCTCATGATTTGCTGCATGACTCAATACGGTCGACCACAATGAGGAAGATCATTGGTGATGATAGAAGGCAGCAACCTTGTCTTTTTTCTGTCCAGACTTCAAAGGTGTCACAGAGCTTTCCATTGTGAATCACTTGGCATGTGGCATCTTCATATAGCTGTTGAATGAGGTCAATAACAAGTTGTGGCACTCCGTATTGTTGAAGCAACTGCCAAATTACTACTGGGTCAACACCGTCGAAGGCCGTCTC